TTTTTTTCCAGGAGTCCCAGATGGAAAGACAAGCAAATGAGGGAAAAGAGGCTCCATAGCCCAACAATCCTCCCTCTCTCGTAAAACCCACGTAGTGTTCCTATTCCACATTCAATCTTCCCTTTCTTCTCTGCTGATCACATTAAGAAAGTCAGAGAGATGCAGTGGTGCCTTTGGTCAGAGACCCAAATAGGGACTGACTACTGACTCAGAGCTTACTGGGGAAATTCTATCCATACTAGAGCAGGCCTGGGAGATGCGGTTGTGCATACAGCCCTACACACCTCCCGCAGTGGCCTGAGTGAGGAACCGAAGTGCAGTGGTAGAGAAAGGGGGCAGTCCGTCTCAGGACCAGGCTATGCTTGTGTTGAGGGGGAGGTCTAGGGCATCACCTGGACTCTCCAGTTACTTACTCTGAATTTAGGAAAGTTCAGGTGCCGGATATTCCCGTCCAGATCTCCTATAAGTGTCTCGTTCAAAAACACCTGCAAAAGAAGGGCAGCATCAGACTGACAGGCCCACCTGAGGAAGACAGAAGAGAGGCTGTGGCTTAAGCAGAACGTGGTTATTACAGGGGCAGGGACTGGCCTAGGTCTGCAGAGATGGCTGGACACAGATAAGGAGTTGTGATAAAGCAGAAAGCAAGTCTCTTTGGATTGACTTTATATTCCCAATGCTTCCCACATAGTAGGTGCTTTAAAATACTACCAAATAGTAGAGTGGACCAGTGACTAACCACCTTGCCCAATCTCAGAGTTAGGCTAAGGTTTCACCTACCACAGCGGACAGCCTGCTAAGCCTACCTGTGCCACGTCTTCCACATGAATGTAGAGACGGCCTCCAGAGCAGATGGTGGACTCGTAAAGGATGAACCCGTAGGACTGACCACTTCCACTGTTGATAGGAAGATTCTCCATACTGACTGGGATGTTAGATCTGACTGGCTATGAAGGAGACACGGCAGGAACAGAAGCCAAAGTGATGAGAAGTCAGGATCCCTCTTCCTGAGAGCCTCATCACTTGCGTTGTGCCACCTAATGGTCCCCAAGGGTTCCTCAAACAGGAAATAATAAAGCAGTTGCTGTGTGATAACGCTCTGGTGCTTTATGTCTCCACTGACCGGGAAAGTCAGGGGCGGTGGGGCATGGTGAGATAAAAACCATTGCTACAACCGTTAAGAACTACGTAACAGAGAGAGCCGTATTCTGAAATAACTGAAGCCACGTGGTGAATTACACACCAAACAATTATCCACCATCTACAGTGCACCACTCACTACTTTTTACCTAAAATAGTGATAGNCGTAACAGAGAGAGCTGTATTCTGAAATAACTGAAGCCACGTGGTGAATTACACACCAGGCAAACAATTATCCACCATCTACAGTGCACCACTCACTACTTTTTACCTAAAATAGTGATAGCAAAGGTGAAAGCAATGTGAATTCAAGAGTTATAGTTTTCCAATGGTTTTCTCCTTTTCTCCAAAATTGGACAGGTAGTCTAATTTTAAAAGTGGAGCAGAGACCCAGAGCAGCTCAGTGATTTGGCCTAATTGTTGGTGAAGACAGAAGCTCCGTGTCCTGGGTTCCCAGCTCAGCAGCCCTTCCTGGATGGATCCTATATGGACCATAGACCCACACGGCAGCATCCACCAGACAGGTTCATCTGAGCCAGAAACAGGATCCTCTAACACCCCTCCCACCCCAGCCCCTGCACACACACTCAGGAGGAGCTGGTGGTTCCTGTCCATGGTCATAAGTTTGGACAGGACAGAGGACCCGTTTTCATACTTCCCAATAACAAGTCCCTTGAAGGACTCTCTCCCCCACCTGCCACCCTGTCCCAGTGCCCCAGTGGTTCTCACCTCGTTTAAGTGCTGCAGGACATCCCACAGTGGCAAGTAGAGAGACAGCCTCACGGAAGGGTACACAGCCTTGGGAGTAAGGGCGGGGAGGGGGGGCAGGGGGTTTGCTGCAACGAAAACAGGTCACAGGGCTGAAGTGTCTGAAAAAGCCATCCCCATCCACGACCTCCTGCATCCCAGAACCAGCAAGAGAAACAGGGCCTGTCCTAGGACATGGGTGTGCTTCTGCAAGAGCAACAACGAACAGGCAGTGACGTGTGGAGCCACTTTGTACCCACGCACACCCAACAGACATGGAGCCCTCTAAAGGGGCGATGTTGGCCATGCAGACTCGGTGCTCACAGGTCTTAGTAGATGGCTAACCAACCTTACTTAAACAAATAAAATTAAACAG